GGCGGCGGCGGCGGCGGTTGCGTGGCGTAGCACGGGAGCAGCCCGAGGGGCCGAGCTGCGACGGGTCGCTTTGAGGCGCCCGAATCACGCCGGGCTCGGGCCGCACGGGAAGCAGCCCCGCCGGCGGCGGCCCGCCCCGTGTCGCCCAGTCAGGGTGTTTTTAGACAGTCCCCAAGACTGTCTCTACCAGAAATGAAAAACCAAGTATTTTAACCAGTTGGTTTACCAGAAAATATTCCGAGGGGTAGATAACTCCTAAATTGGGTGTACAAATTTCAAGAATTGAATTGGAATTAGCTTGAATTGGCTTGAATTGAATTTGAATTAATGAGATTTTATTTTACTGAATTATCGTTAATTGACTTGAATAGGCTTAGAGTGACTTGAATTAAATGTACATGGTCTTGAATTGGACTGAATTAATTTTGAATTCGTTTGAATTAAATTGAATTGGGTAGAATTAGGGGTGTACACTTGACAGGGGAGTTATCCACCCCTCGAAATATTCATAAAACTCGGCTTGTCATACTATGAGAGAATGCTGTGCTCACCCCCCGGGCAACCCCTCCTAGAGAGTAAGAGATGGGAAGGAAGGTGGTCGTTCCCATGGTGTGCCGAGCACGAGCCCTTTTCGGGAGACTTAAACGCCGGGGCCCCACGAGAGGGCCGCGCCGGCGGCCACCCCCCTCACGACAGAGCGCAGGGGCCGCATGGGGCCCTTCGTAAACCATTCCTAGAAGCTACTTTGAACCTTCGGCCGTATGGAATATCCCTCCTAATTGTCCGGTGCTCTCGGCGTGTGTGTGTGTGTGTGTGTGTGCGTGTGCGTGGGAGCAGCCGGCTATTGGCCGACGCTCACGCCATCCCGAAAGTGGAGGCGACGGCGACCAGGACGACGCACTTCCTAGAAGACGGGGCGCCCCTCTGAAAGGAGCGTGAGCGGGTGCGGGGCCTCCTCCATAATGACGGTAGCAGAGCTGCCGATAGTCAGCTCCTCCAAAACTGTTTGCAGACGCGTCCCGGGTGCCGCCTACAACCTGCGCGACGAAGACATGCGCGCCGACACACCTCACCCGCATGTGTGTGTTTGGAGGGGAACAAACTCATTACACTAGGATTTTTTAGAATGTGCTATGAATTTATTTGAAAAAGCTTGGAAAAATTCAGATTATAAATCAAAGGAATGTACATCTAGTCTATTACACACAAAATTATACCTGAATGATGAGTCGCCTGACACATGTCAAAAATAAATTTCCGTATTGTCAGGTAGAGGAAAAAGAACTGGCGCGACATTGAGCAAAATGGCAAACACACATTAGAAAGTACAAGGGTTTGATAGAAAAGAGTTGTCTTTTAAGTGTGTTTGCAAATGTGAGCGCAAATTAGAACTTTGAGAAAATTTCTTTTGGCAGACTGTACACTCAAAAGGCTTTTCTCCAGTGTGGGTTCGTAGATGTTTCCGCAGGTCTCCATTTCGTGAAAACGTCTTGCAACACGCTGAACACTTAAAAGGCTTTTCTCCAGTGTGGGTAAGCAGATGTTTGCGCAGGGATCCACTTACTGAAAATGTCTTGTTGCACACTGTACACTCAAAAGGCTTTTCTCCAGTGTGGGTTAGCATATGTCTCCGCAGGTGTCCACTTTCTGCAAACGTCATGTGACACACAGTACACTCAAAAGGCTTTTCTCCAGTGTGGGTAAGCAGATGTTTGCGCAGGTTTCCACTTTCTGAAAATGTCTTGTGGCACACTGTACATTCAAAAGGTTTTTCTCCAGTGTGGGTTCGCAAATGTGTGCGCAGGTGTCCACTTTTTGAAAATGTCTTGTGGCACACCGTACACTCAAAAGGCTTTTCTCCAGTGTGAGTTCGAAGATGAGCTCGAAGATTTGTGCTTATTGAAAACGTCTTGTGGCACACTGTACATTCAAAAGGCTTTTCTCCAGTGTGGGTTCGCATATGTTTCCGCAGGTCTCCATTTCGTGAAAACGTCTTGCAACACGCTGAACACTCAAAAGGCTTTTCTCCAGTGTGGGTAAGCAGATGTTTGCGCAGGGATCCACTTTCTGAAAACGTCTTGTGGCACACTGTACATTCAAAAGGCTTTTCCCCAGTGTGGGTTCGCATATGAGAGTGCAGGTTTCCACGGAGTGAAAACGTCTTGTGGCACACTGTACATTCAAAAGGCTTTTCCCCAGTGTGG